TAACTCCACAAGGTCTCTATTCTCTTCTCTTCTCTTTCATTGGGTAGAAAGGATCCTTCCTTCTCAATATTTTATTTTAAATATATACATATATATTACTGAAAGTAGATAAAAGCAAGGTAGGAACATGTTTGAATACAAGCTGATTAATTTCTTCTAAAAAGAGATTCCAAGGTACTGACAAGAGAGGCAATAATTAAAGGAAAGAAGAAAGAAAAGGGATGAAAGAAAACACCATACACACCCCCCCTACACACTGTAGACAAGCCTCACACATGCATACACACCACACCACACCATGCACACAACCACACATACACAGACATATTTGTTTTGTTTTACTTGGTGTGGTGGTGGGTTATTTGGATAATAGATGAGAAAATATTTCTCCATTTTATTTTTTTCCCCAGATTTCAAACAAAGGTTTATTTCCTTAGCTGATCCATCCTCTGACTCTTGGGAATGCCCAAGGCCCTCTCTAACATCTTCAGTCTCTCCCCCCACCCCACCACCTGCACCAAATAAAGGAAGAATGAAAGCCCCCAGATATCAAACTCACCTACTTCTCAGTTTTGCCCTGAACCTGAAATCACAGAGGTGGTACTGAGCATCCTTGCAGTCTGGGGAGCAGAGAGCTGTGGTTCCCCAAAGCGCTCATCTCCATCTGGGTCATCATACCTCCACAAAAGTGATGTGGGAAATTCCCCTAATACCTGCTCCTCCTCCTCATGCAAAAGTGTGCTTGCTCTACAGGTTACTGTGCAAATGTCTGACAGTCCTCTGACAGCTCAACCCTATCCCTACAGTAAAAGCAGTCTCCAGTCAACTGGCCACTCCCAAGGACTCTCTAGGGTTCCTGGAGAAGGACGCAGGAGGCACTGCTCCTGACGCAGCCTGAGACTCTCGAGGCCACAACAGGAATTCCCATAGTGGCTCCACACAATGAGTGGGAGGAGCTAGGGCAGGATTCCACCATAGAATTCACGGTTGTAAGACACGCAATCACAGTTCCTTAGTGGCCTAGTGGAACCTTATTATGAAATAAACAACTTGGGCTTTCAAAAGAACCCTGCCACAAATGGAAAGCCAAGAGTGGACCACTAAGCGTCATGAAGGTTGGTGTCCCAGTGTGTTAACTCATGGTGTGCATACCTGCTCATGGGTCCCCTGCCATACCGGACCACGCAGGGTCCTGAAGAATACCAGGTTCTTAAGATTCAGAGCATAAAATGTGATAAATGTAGTTATAAGTTGTTGGGTGTAATGTTTCTTAGATGGTATGAATAAACAAACCATTGCTGTTAGGTAAATTCCAACTCCACTCATAGCAATCCTATAGGGCAGAGCATGATGGTGCTGTAGGGTTGCCAAGGCTGAATATTTTTACAGAAGCGAATTGCCAGATTTTTCTCCTGTGAAATGAAGTGAGAGGTTGAGTGGCTGACCTTTGGGTTACCAGCAGAGCACTTTAACCACTGTGCAACCAGCACACTGGATTATATTGGTACTAACAACAAAGTTGTTTTGTAAAATCTTTCTACAGTGACTGACAACATTATTTGTAATTGAGTAGCGGTCTTTAAAGATTTATCCTTCCTTTCTTTTAATTGCCATTTCATTCTCAAGAAACTCTGGCAAAAGCAGCGACTATAAAAACACCGGTAGCAACAAAAACAACGGTTTGCTGGTAGCAAAAGCAGACGACACCACGCGATTTGAAATGTCGTTGTCACAGGGCAATAAAGAGAGTCCTGACTAGAGAGCACTGAAAGGCTCAAGAAGTTACTTAGCACAGAATTTAGGCCTTGTGGGGATGTGTAGAGTAAGTCCATCATCTTTAAACTCTATTTTTTCTACAGGTTTTGAAGCTCCTTCCCCATGTACACATGTAAACAGGGCTTACAAAAAGTGTGTCTGCTGTTATAATTAATTACCTCAAGCCACCCAAACCCACTGCCATTGAATCGATTTTGACTAATAGTGGTCCTAAGGGACAGAGCAGAAGTGCTCTATAGGGTGTCTGACACAAAATCATTTTTCAAAAGGCTGTTTATTATGAATGTGGTGAAATTTACAGAGCAAATCAGTTTTCCATGAACGATTCACATACATTTCACTTCGTTTAATTGACTGCTGTATTGAAAAGCAAGGACTTTTCAGGAATCAGGAGTTCCTGAGCCAAGTATTTTTAATGGTATTCTCAATTGCCTCATATCAGAGTTGGACACTGAATAAAGAAGATCAAAGGGGAACTGATGCATTTGAATTGTGGTGCTAGAGAAGAATATTGATCTGTCCTGGAAGAAGTATGGCCAGAGTGCTCCTTAGAGATGGGAAGATTGAATATATGTACTTTGGGTATGTTGATGTTGTCAGGGAGACCAGTCCTGGGGCATCATGTTTGGTAAAGCAGAGGGGCAGTGAAAAAGAGGAAGGCCCTCAAAGAGATGGATTGACCAGTGGTTACAATAGTGGGCTCAAGCTTTCGAACAATCGTGAGGATGGCGCAGGACCAAGCAGTTTCCTTCTATCGTGCACAGGATCACCATGGGTCAGAACAAACTATGGCACTCAACAACAACAGCATCGATTGACTGCACGCTCCACAAGGTGATATCCCTTATCCCACTTCTTCCTTTTATTTCCTATTTCCATTCTTCCTTCTCGTCTAACCCTTCTGAACTTTGTCTTTGGGTAAATACAGGCCTTTTGATCTCAAATGGTTGATTATTTGAAGGTATGGAGACCTCCCAAGAGCTGATATTCCCTTTAGAGACCAGTCTAGTGGGATGAGTTCAGTTCCGGACGTACGGGTGTCTAAGGGCCGGAGTCCTGCGGGTTTCACTAGTCTCTGTTTGACCAGCGAGCCTGGGTTTTTTTGCGATTTCTAGTTTTGATCCATATCTTTCTTCCTCTCTATCCAGGACTTTCTCATGTGACCCATTCCAGAGCAGTTGATAACAGCCAGGCATCAACTAGCTCTTCTGAGTCATAGAGGCTGAGCTTGAAGTGGTCCATTAAAATAATAAGTTAGAGGGGAGAGCGGAGAGGGAGGGGGGAAATGAAGAGCTGATGCCGGGGCTTACGTGGAGAGTAAATGCTTTGAGAATGATGAGAGTAACGATTGTACAAATGCGCTTTATATAATTGATGTACGTATGGATTGTGATAGGAGTTGTATGAGCCCCCAATAAAATGATTAAAAAAAGAAAATAAGTTCCACACATTCAGTTTTCATCATTGCTCTTTCCTGTGGACCTGGGATGGTTGTACCTTAGATGGCTGCTCACGAGCTTTTAAGACCTCAGTCACTACTCACCAAAGAAAGATGTAGAGCACTGTCTTTGTGACCTCTGCTATGCCAATTGACCTTGATGTCTTCTGAGACTATGGTCTTGTTCCCTCAGGGCCAGTGATTCATCCCCTCAAGCTTCTTGGTTATGTCTAAGAAGTTTTCAGAATTTCCCTCCTGTTTGCTTTACCACAGATATATTTGTAACATCGGTAAATACACAAGGAGAAAGAGCCTCTGCCAAACATAGTATTCATAGGTCTAGTTGACCTCTTCCTCTCACACCCAGTCAGCCTGGGTATCTAGCCACTCAGTCACTCGCATGGATCAGCACTACTAGAGGACCGTATATCTAACAGTATCTCCCTCTGTGACCCTGAACTGTTGTACTCTTCTCAGCCTCCTCCTCTGCCTCCATTATTTATTGCCTCCCCCGCACCCAATTCAACACGGGGCAACTTCTAACCAGTAACTTACCCTTCCACCTCTGGTAACCATCAAAGAATGTTTCTTTTAGTGTGAAAATATTTTCTTCGACTTTTTATGAGTGTGGTCTCACATAATATTTGTCCTTTCATGACTAACTGATTTCACTCAGCATAATGCCCTTCAGGTTTATCCAGGTTATGAGGGTTTCACCGAGTCATCATTATTCTTAACGTAAAGCAGCATTCCACTGTGTGAAAGTACCATTCTTTGTTTATCCATTGTAAACATTTAGGTTGCTTCCATCTTTATGCTATCTGTGCATGGTGCTTCAAAGGAACATGAGTGTGCATATACCTATTCCTATCATGGTTCTCATTTCTCTAAGATACATATGCCCAGTAGGGGGATTGCTGTATTTTAATGGCATTTCTGTTTCCATTTTTTTAAATTAAGGAGACTGTAGGAACTGTAAAGAAGCCAGTACCCCACTACCACAAAGTTTCCCACACTTGGGGAAATTGCAGGGGTCAGCACATCAGGAGTGCAAAGGGCAGCCTCACCCTGGGAAAACCACTTTCACGATGGTGGTGTCTCCCTTGCCAGATAAGTTTTTATTTCCAACTTTTTGAGGACATGCATCCTGTTTTTCATAGTAGTCACACCATTTGGGGACTGTAAATCTTTATGGGAACCTGCCTACTGGAGTGGACAGCTTCATCTTCCTCCCAGAGTGTCTGTGTCTGGTGGGGCTGAAGGGTTCACCTGTCAACAGCTCAACGCTTAACCCACCGCACCACCCATTTCTATGCTCTCTCAATCCGGCCGGCCCTACCTACCCCATCCCTATGCTCCGGTTTCACATCAACATGTTTCATTTCTAATTGTTGATTTCTGGCATCCTTTTCTTCTGTCTGTGCGTACGTTTTACTGACGGCAAATGTCAGCACAGGGGAATTTACCCGCGGAAGGTGGACAGCACTGGGTATTCGGATGTATGTAAAAGTAAGCTGCTCCTCCGAATGACTCCCTCCCCCAGCCCCGCCCTTCGCGGGCTCTTTCCGAGGAGAGCAGTCTCCTGCTCCGGGAGGACGCGCGGCGCGGCCCCAGGCTGGCTGGGGCACGACGTCGGGGGCCCCCTCGCAGGCCGCGCTGTTCTCGGGGGACCGGCGCCCCGCTGGGAACCGCCTCCACGCCCTCCGGTACCCGCCTTTAGGCTCCCGGCCCGGCCCTGGACCCCGGGCCCCTCCCCGCCCCCAGGTAGACAGACACCTGCCCTTACTTGCTCCGACTCATCCTCCGTCACCACGCTGACCACCGGGATTTGGCGGGGGCTGCTCGACTTGGTCCTGCCGCCCGGTTCCAGGAGCTCGGCTGTCCCCGCGGCTTCCCCAGTCGACATGGCTGGCGGAGGGCAGGCTGGGGGGTCGCCGGTCGGACGCTGGAGCGGCGGCAACCGGAGCCAGCCGCCCGCCCCCCAGCAGGAAAGGCCCCAGGCGGCGCTGGATCAGGAAAGGGTCTGCGAGCCCCGCCCCGCCCGCCGGCCCGTTGTTAACACCAGCCGGCGCGTTGCTAGGGGGCGGGGCCGGAGGCGCGGGCTCCGACGCCACCCGGGGACCTAGCTACACAAAAGTTTACCCCGCACCTGCAGTGCGGGAGATGGGAGGAGACGTCTGGCCAGGAGCGGTCCCTTTACAGCTGCACGCTCGGTGTGCGTCCGACTGGGGAGTTTGCAGTGGGGATTGCTTCCAGCAGGCTTGGGTGGGTGGATGGATGGACACGGTTGAAAGCCACGCAGTTTAGCTCACCCCCGAGAAGTTACTAATCACTTAGGTTCCCCAGTCGTTTGCTGCCCCTTAACTTGAAGGCCCCACTGGACAGTTTAAAGGTTGGCACACTGGTTAAAGGCTCGGCTGCAAACCCTACAGGTGAGCACACCAGCCACTCTGTGTGACAAAGATGCTGCGATCTGCTTCCTGAAAGATTGCAACCAGGTCTTCTCCCAGGATTGGTCAATGCGCCACAGCTGTCCCTGACCTCTTCTCCAAATTCGGGTGCGATAGACTCAAGGTCGTATTTTGACTCTTGTGGAGTTGTTTTAATTTTCTCCAGCTTCAACCAGAACTGATGATCTGTTCGACCGGCCCCACCCCCCGCCCCGGCCTGCTTTTAGCTGCTGATATTGAGCTTTCCCCTCATCTCTGTCCCAAGAAGCAGTCAATTTGATTTCTGTGTTTTCCATTTGGAGAAGTCCATGTGAATCTGTCACCGTGTGTGTTGTTGAAAAAGGGTAGTTGCTACCATCAAGTCGTTGGTCTTGCAAAATTCTATCGTGATTTCTATCACCAAGACCATACTTTACAATTACTATTCCTCTTTTGTTTCTAACTTTTGCTTTCCAGTTACCAATCAGTTTTAGACTGAAAACGTTGGTAAAATTCTTTAATTTCTTCATCACTAGCTTTAGTTGTTTGTGCACAAATTTGAGTAATATTTGTTATATTGATTGTATTTCTTTGAATTCAGATAGGCATAATCCTAGCACAAACAGCATTGTACTTCGAGATATGCTTACATTTTTTTTTATATGCTTAGATCTTGAAAAGTCCTTTTTGATGATGAATGTGGTGTTATTCTTCATTGGAACATTCCCAGCACAGTAAAAGATATAATCTGATTCAGAATGTCCAAGACCAGACTATTTCAGCTCACTGACACCTAGAATATCGATTTTTATGCATTGCATTTCATTTTTGATGACTTCCGATTTTACTGGATTCACATTTCGCACATTCCAAGTTTCAATTATTAGTAAAAAATTTTAGCTGTTTCTTGTCATTTTGAGTGGGGCCCCATTAGGAAATGAGGGTCCTGACGGGTTTACTAACCCACGCCATAGTGATTTCAATCGCCGCACATGCGTTTGAAAGTTGGACATTGAATAAGGAAGACCAAAGAATTGATGCATTTGACTTGTGGTGTTGGTGAAGAATGTTGGAAGTACCATGGACTGCCAAAAAAAATTACACAAATCTGTCTTGGAATAAGTACAGCCAGAATGCTCCTTAGTGGAGACCAATCCCTGGGAAAGGACATCATGCTTGGTTAAGTAGAAAGGCAACAAAAAAGAGGAAGGCCCTTGTCAGGATGGACTGACACAGTGGCTACCACAAGGGGCTCACACATAACAATTGTGAGAATGGCGTCCGATCAGGCCGTGCTTTGTTATGTTAAACTTAGGTTCACTATGAGTCTGAACCAACTTGATGGCACAAAAAACGAAGACTGCAGCCTTGAGGTAGCTTTTCTCTCTTTGTACAGAGCCCGAATGGGTCAGAATAGATTGGAAGGGACTGGAGTGAGTTGGAGAGTTAAATAAACTAGAGTTAGGAGGCTTTTAAGTGAAACCTGATTTTTTAAAAATTATTTTATTGGGGGCTCATACAACTCATCATAATTTATCTATCCATCATTGTGTGTCAAGCACATTTGTACATTTGTTGCCCTCATCATTCTCAAAACATTTGCTTTCTACTTGAGCCCTTGGTATCAACTCATTTTCCCCCTGCTCCCCCCTCCCTCATGAACCCTTGATAATTTATAAATTATTATTATTTTGTCATATCTTACACTGTCATATGTCTCCCTTCACCCACTTTTCTGTTGTTCATCCCCCAGGGAGGAGGTTATATGTAGATCCTTGTTATCAGTTTCCCCTTTCTACCCCACCCTCCCTGTGCCCTCTCATCACTGGTTCTGAAGGGAGCATCTGTCCTGGATTCCCTGTGTTTCCAGTTCCTATCTGTACCAGTGTACATCCTCGGTCTAGCCAGATTTGCAAGGTAGAACTGGGATCATGATAGTGGCGGGGAGGAAGCAATTAAGAACTAGAGAAAGTTGTATGTTTCATCGCTGCTACACTGGACCCTGACTGTCTCGTGTCCTCCTCGCGACCCTTCTGTAAGGGTATGTCCAGTTGCCTACAGATGGACTTTGTGTCCCCAATCTGCACTCCCTCTCATTCAGAATGATATGATTTTCTGTTCTGATGATGCCCGATACCTGATCCCTCCAGCACCTTATTATCACACAGGCTGGTGTGCTTCTTCCACGTGGGCTTTGTTGCTTCTTAGCTAGATGGCCACTTGTTTACCTTCAAGCCTTTTAAGACCCCAGACGCTATATCTTTTGATAGCCAGGCACCATCAGCATTCTTCACCACACTTGCTTATGCACACATTTATCTTTAGCGATTATGCCGGGAAGGTGAGCATCATGGAATGCCAGTTTTATAGGACAAAGTGTTCTTGCATTGAGGGAGTACTTGAGTGGAGGCCCAATGTCCATCTGCTACCTTAATACTAAACCTATAAATATATGCACATAGATCTATTTCCCCGTCATGTAAAAATATATTTACATATGTACACGCCTGTGTTTAGGCCTCTATAAATGCCCTTTGCCTCCTAGTTCTTTCCTCTATTTCCTTTTACTTTCCTCTTGTCCCACTATCATGCTCAGCCTTCATTTGGGTTTCAGTAATTCCTCTTGGTTACATTGCCCTTGATCACGCCTTACCAAGCCTCCTACACCCTCCTCGCCATTGATTTTGGATCATTTGTTCCCTTGTTCCTGGGTTGGTTAACACCACTTCCTTTCCTCCACCTCCCACTCTCCTATGTCCTCCCAGAACCATCAGTCCCGTTGTTTTCTCCTCCAGATTGGTGAAACCTGATTTGAATTTAGCACGTTTCTTATTCTCCCAGAATAAGAACGTTCTCCCAACGTTTCTCATCTTAAAATAGGGTTGTTAAGGGTAGAAATAGTAATATTTGTAAAGTGGTGCATATCAATAAGTGCCCAATAAATGATCAAAAATACCATGACCTTTCCTATTATGGTGTAATCTATTAATTATAAGTTAACATTCGAAGGGGCAAGATTTTAAAGGCAAATCATCATGACTTGTCAATATAACAACCACTCCACAAACATCATGGTATGAAAACTTGCAACAAATCATTTATTATTTTCATCTTTTTAACTTCGAGGATTTTCTTTCAAGATTTGAAAATCAATTTTTATATTTTCTCTGGAATTTATGCATTTAAGGAATGACACTTAACAAACTCCATTAAAATGGATGTGACTTTAATATTCCAGGGCCTCCTTCTTCATTCATCAGAAGACAGATAAGGCTCCACTATGGTAACGAGTTATAGAGTTGGACACCCACAGGGCAGTTCCACCCTGTGCTGTATGCTTGCTATGAGCTGGAATCAACTTGATGGCAGTGTTTGTTTTTTCCCTTCACTTATAAAGTGATCAAATCAGTCACTTGTTTCTAAGGGTTTCTTCCCATTCAATGAGCGACATTTCTCACCCCACAAATAAAAAGAAGTGTAAAAACTAGATCAAACTGGTTGTATGTGACATAAATGATTGCTAAAGAAACCAACTTATTTGAAAGAGTACCTCAACACTTACACTCTTTTGAAGAAATCATTTGGTTATGTGTTAAGTTGGGTTCTGTAGAGAAGCCAAACTTGTGACACTTGTATGTGTATGTATATAGAAAGATTTATGCAAGAAATGACACTGTTGCAGAAGTAGGGAAGTTCAGTTCAGTTCCAATCTGTCGGTCAGGTAGGAGCTGGAGGCTTCTCGTGACTCCTGTAGCAACATAAACTGACAAACCGGAAGCAGGGTGAGGAAGCAGGAGGGCCACAGGCTGGTGGATGCAGAGGTAAATAAATGCAAGATTGACTAAATAAACCTGAGATCAGTGTCTGCTGATGACTCCTGGGATTGGCAGGCAGCAGAACAGATCATCAGACCGGACACAGGATCCAGATACAGGAGTAGGTGAAGGGACCAGAGCACTCAGATCTACTCAAGGTCACTCTCTGATACAAAAGGCCACACCCTAAAGTAGGTGTGATCAGACTTTGGCTTGATTGATAGGTGATGGTACACCCCTAACTTCACCAAGCAGTGTCTAGTTGACATAAACTCTAACCATCACAGTGCACAAAAGTTATCTGATGTAGCTTCTGCTGTTTGTGCATTTTGTATGATAGGCTATGTAAGCCATAAATTAGGACACTTAAGCTTGTCCCTATTTTTCTTTGGTAATATTAATAGTTTTAGGTTTTACATTTATATTTAATTTACATTTAGATTAATTTTTAATTAATTTTTTACATTTACATTTTTGATCCATCTTGAGTTTTATATACTGTATATACTCAAGTATAAGCCAATCCGAATATCAGTTAAGGCAGCTAATTTTACCACACAAACTGCATTAAAAATGTGCTGAAAAACTCAGCTTATACACGAGTATATATGGTAAGACGTAAGGTGTCGATCTGATCCAATTTTCTACAGGTGAGTATCCAG